GATTTGTTTCTATTTCTGCAGATGCATCGCTCTGAATGACGGGAAGAGCACGTCTCAAAATGTTGGCTGAGGTGATCTGTATGATTTCAGAAATCATATCAGCCAAAACTGCTTGAATATCAGAATCCCAAGCTCCATTTTCTATTAAAGTCCACTGTACATCATCGAGCTTGTTAAAGGCGTTATCGATAATCGGTGACAGCTCATCTGGTGATACGACCAGTGGGGTTTGAGTATTATAATCCTGTGTTGCAGACATTGTTATTTCACACGGATTCTCTCTGTTAAAATCTTCCTGAAATGCTAAACTTGCTGAATTGAAAGAGCGTGGTAAGTTTGACATGTAACTACTGTCGAGGGGGTCTCTGGTAGTGATAACTTTTTGACTTAGCTTGGCTCCTATTTAAGGACTTTCCCGGATCAAAGGAAAACCACATTAAAGGACTTCTTTGACGTAACACATCAAAACCTTCTATGAGGTAAGTCGTTCGAATGCACGAGAATTCGCGCATGCGCAACCGCCCGCGTTAAGCTCGTAACTCGGGTGCGCATGGCAGAAGAAAACTGTTTTTTTTCTCAAACCTTTATTTAAACATCAGTACAATACAAAATGGAATTAAACAGTACCACAATAATGGTGTTGTACTTACAAAAGAATTGTATGCATAGATAAACAAATACAAGAACAGTATTCAGAAACAACAATATAAATATGCTAGGGGGAAAGTAACTGATCAAGCCAAAGAATAAAGTGATTGAAAGATCTTAATTTTTTCAGAAACACCAATAGTTTTTATAACTTTTGGGTTAGTGGAGTTCTTAATTGAGTTAAGATACTGTACAAGTTCAAAGGAGAATACATAAAAAGAGGGATGTCTTCCTAAACATTTGGACTTGTGAATCAATGAGAAACTGGTCCAGTGAGCTCTCACGTGTTCGGCTGCGGTCATGTCGGCCGCACTTTGAATTTTGTTGCTCTTTTTCTCTCCATAATACGGTTACTCGGAAACACAGCAGAGTTCGTCTTTTTTTTATCCTGCAAGTTTGTCCCCATTTACTCCACAGTCCAATAGATGTTTTGTTAACAAAGAAAAGAAAATATAATCCTTACTTGATTTATTATGATTAAAAAAAATATTAAAAACTCTTTAAGAGGTGGCAACATGGTAATATGCCGAGTGGCAGCGTTTTCCTTTCTCACTTCCACAGAGTTTTTCTTAATAAGTTGGAATGTAACAACTTCCGGTATAAATTTTACTCGTTTTTTTAAGGCATGTCACATAGATCAATCTTGTATTTATTGACAATATCAAGTAAAAGAAATACAGTTTCAATGGTTTGTTGTGGCAATTAAAGCATTTTGTGTCACTACAGCAAGGGCCTTGAGCCACTGCCAGGCCCAGGCTTGATTAAATAGGGAGAGCTGGGTCAGGAAGGGCAATCGGCATAAAATGCCAAATAAAATGCATAGATCACTAAAATGCATCAGTAAAGGCAATCTACAGTAATGTCATATATAACAATACTTGATAGGGGTCCTTTTCAATAATTTTTAAGATTTAAGTTAGAATTCTGGGTCTGCTGTGTATGTGCTGAAAAGTGTAATATCGAGTTTCTGCTTATCATTATAGTTATTATTTAAAAAACTGAAAACGTTTCATTCACTACGTAATGAACTGATTTAATTCATTCCCAGCCGAGAAGACTGTATTTGTGTCTTTACTGTATGACTTGAACGGAAATCGAAAAGCTGTTGCTGACGTAAGGAGAAAGGCTGCCCCCAGCTGGGCACAATAGGGAACTACTGCATTTTTGGAAACCTAGTCACTCTTTGGTAATTTCAGTATTTTTGTTTTTACGCTTGTTTATATGTAACAAAGACAAACGGGAATATTTTGGGGTATGCACTCGTCTCTATAGTATTTTATTTTATTCTGTACTGTTGTGTACTGTATTTATTCTTATTATATTCTAATTTTTGCTACATAACTTTTGCACTGTCCACTTTCTGCTGTGACAAAACAAATTTCCCACGTGTGGGACTAATAAAGGTTATCTTATCTTATCGTATCTTAGAGAACGAATAAAGATCTTACAAGTGTTAAGGACGACAGCCAAAGTGCTAGTTAAAGTTGGTTTCCAATTACAATTCAGTTATGTTTTTTTTTACATCCTAGTTCAGAAATAACTTAAAACATGCCTGATCCGAAAGGATTTGTGTTACTTTTTATTTCAGTTAAATAATATTTTCTGCAGGGAAAAACATGCCGTGACCCGGATTCGAACCGGGGTTGCTGCGGCCACAACGCAGAGTACTAACCACTATACGATCACGGCGCGCTATCCGTGGGATAGGAAGCATGGGTCGTTGACAGAACCCCTATGCTCGCATGGTGGTGAAACACTAAAATCTTATTAATTATGGCCAATACGGGACCAACAGAAAAGTCATTTAGAAATTCGAATTACAGTTTTTATCAGATTTTGCTGAGCGAGCAGCAAGTTACTCCTAAAACCGTGAGAGACACGTTTGCGGTCTGTTTGCTTATGGCTCTACTTTCTTCACGTAGTAGAGTGGACATATTTTCTGTGCCTCGTGGTGTGGGCGTAGCCTACGGCGTTTTAAAAACGTATTCGCTTGCTGATTGGTCAACCGTCGTGTATTCATACGGATTCAACGCATTCTCTTTACCCATTGGTTATGGGGTCGTTATCTCTCGTTTATCATTGGTTCAATAAACAAGACGTCCGAATTTCAAACTAGATTGTCTGTCAGTGTGTTGTCGAAGTAAGCGAGAGTGAACGTTTGCTAGCTAACAAGTGTTGGGTCTAAACGGCCATTTGGAAACAGTTAACATGTAATTAATGTTAACTAAGCTGTTTTTTTAAATTCATTTTTTAAGCTACAAGATTGACTTTATTAATTACAAATGGCACAAGGCGTACATTCGGGACAGAGAGGATTTTTGGACTTCAGTCCAACAAGGAGAGAGTACACAGACAAAGAGAACGATGTTCCCGTCCTGAGTTTGATCCAGTTTTCAAAGGCTCCTTTCGTAACCTTTGGATCGGTTAAGCTGGGTACCTCCAAGTCAGCTGTTCTGAGGATCGAGAACCCTACAGAGTATGCTGCAGCGGAGGTTTCTGTTGAGAAGATCCCCTCAAGTAAAGGCTTTTCAGTGGACTGCAGCACGTTCAAAATCCAGGTATGTTTTAGCTTATACAGAAAATACACGAGTACCCATTCACACACCAGATTCCAAACTCCACGGGGATTTTCATATAATTAAATACACTCTTAAAGATTTCTGTTTATAAGAGTCGGTCCTTGTTTTCAGCCTGGGGGCTCGTTCACTCTGGTGGTGACCTGGACGCCAACCGAAGAAGGTGGGATCAGAGAGCTAATCGTCTTAAATGCCAGCGGTGTCCTCAAACACCAGGCTGTCCTGCTGGGGAGAGCAGAGGCACCAAAAAGGAAAAAGGTAAGCATCCACAGCTTTACACGGAGGCTCTTACAGCTAATGTTACTCTCAGATAGCTGAAGTTTTTTTTTTCCGCCTTCACTTTGCAGTATGTTTTGATGAGCAGCTGCCAAGTAAGAAAGCAGCAGTGACGACATTATTTATTCCAAAATGCACTGTTAATCATCTGAGGTCATGTCAGTCACTAAACAGAAGTGAAACCACGTGAAAAGTAAAACAAAAGCATTTTTAGATCAAGGCAAGTTGTTGGATATGAAATATGGTCATTGATCTGTAAATTGTAATGTGCACGTAATGACAGACTCAGTGAAAACCGAGATGTATTTATATCAGGATGTTCATCATTGTGTTGTGTCTGGTTTCAGCTTTTTTTTTTTTTTTAATTTTTTTTAATGTTGCCTATTGTAACAGTGTTTTTAACATACATTGCATCCACTGGCCTAGCTCATTTGAGGTTAAGTTAGGCTGTATGTGAATGAATGACTTTAAGCTATTTTAGGTAAAGAATATCACATTTGATCTCATCAAATGAGAAAATGCCTTGCCTTTTTTGTACCAACAGTAAGATACAAAAGTAAGGCTTCTGGTGATATTTGGTGAGTTCAGTGCAGTTGTGATGTGTGCTTTCAGTAATAACTGGTATGACTCTTTAGTCTGATTATTATGAGGCAGTTATATCCTTAACTGGAGGCCTAGCTTGTATGATTTGTTTTGTAGGCTGCAACTTTACACATCATTGAAAATGTGTGTGTGTGTTTTCAGAAGACCTTATGGGACACAATCAAAAGCAAGAGAGAGGGTGAAAAAATGACAACACTCAGAAGGAAGGTCGAGCACCCCCCTCTGAAGATGGCTGCCAATAAAACCTTCCAAGTGTCTCGAAATCCACAGTACAAACGGGACAAGCCACGCAGCCCGCTCACTTCACTTAACGAGGGCAAAGGTGCCATAGAGAGGTCCCTAACCAAGCACAGCCCCGTTGGGGATCGCTGCCTGAAATCAGACAAGCAGAAAGCCTTAAATCTGAGCCAGGAGCAACAATCTCTGGTCTTGCCAGAAAAGGAGAACGTCCAACAACTTAATAGGAACTCTCCGCTGGTTTTGCTTGTCCCGGCTGCACAGGTGGTAGACTCTGGTAGCATGTCCGCGAGCCCAGATGTCCTTGCAGGAAAACCTGAAAACAAAGATCTTACCAAAATCCTCAACAGGACGCTGTCGCCAATTGGGACGCCAGAGAGGTTTAAGAAGCTCATGCCTTGGATTGAGTCAGAAAACCCACTCCCTGCTACTGCAAAGTCTGCAGCTGCTGCTGCTGACAGTGAGTTACCTAGAAGCCCCCTCCCGTCTTTGAAAGAGGCCCTGTTTCTCATCGACTCTGATCTGATCGATGTTAACACCAGCCCTCCAGATAATAATTCGAGCTGTAACTTTTCAGATTCGCTCGAATCTAACAGTGAAAAACACGGCTGTCGACCTGACACAGATGTCCTCAAAGCGTCATCTGGTAGCCCTGAGCTGTCAGAGTCCAGTGAGCCCAGACTTACTTTCTTTGTCAGCAAAAAGGCAGAGAAAGCGAGAGAGCTGGGTGTTTCAGAGGCTGATAAACTTCCTGAAGGGACAAAAAAAGGTTCTTTCACCTCTGCCACAGTGACAAAGGGTAAGGCACCGGTGGAGGCAAATGGTTCAAGTGGAAGGAAAATAAAGAAGTCACGACGAAGGCTCCTGCAGAAAACGCTGGAGCTGTCTGATGGCAGCTGTCCGTGTGAGTCAGGTCCAGAAAGTCCTAGCCTTCCTGTCATAGACTCGGACAAAGGAATCAGCCCGTGTGATGACAAACCTCAGGTCCCAGAGTTTATCTCCTCCAGCACCAGCCCGAGGCTCGCTGCCTCACCTGCACCCATCACCTTCCCTGTCTCCTCCCCTCCACCTCTGGCTCCTTCTCGCTTTTCTTTCTCAGTAACGTCCCCACCTCATTCAGTCCTTGCTCCTGTTGCTTTTACCGTCCCCTCTCCAACACCTGTGGGCTCATCTTTTCCTCATCATCATGACCTCTTGTCAAAATCTAAAGTGTACGAGCAGCCCCTAGCAGTTTTTACACCTCCTCGTGTTCAGGAAGACTTGTTTCCCGTTAACGTAGTAGCGAAGAGCAAGAAGAGGAAGAGTGAGGAATTTCTGAAAGCTGATGGGAAGATTGAAGATGACAGGAAAACTGAGCAGGTAAAAAGGAGCAAGGTAGTGCCTGGGAAAACCGAGCCCCCCCGATCAGTCCAGGAGCGGAGAGGTGCATCACAAAGGCAGAGAACATCAGGTGAGCCTCCTTCAAGAAGGTTGTTCATGTCTTTGTTGAGCTGGAGGCTGTAGCTTATGTGTCTGCTATTTTAGATATGCTTTATACTAACAGCTCTATTATGTTCAGAGAGAGGAGGATTAAAAAAAATCTAGACGATATCTCCACAAACTTTAAATCAGCACCTTTTGAATTGTTTAAGCTACTTATGCTCAACACATTTGTTTTCTTTTTGTATTTATTTATTTCACTTTCAATAAAAGGGTTGCTGGTGATAGTGATATATGGCTCATGCCAGTATCGGTTGATGTTGGTATCAGCCGATGTTGTCCTTGCTGACTGATTATTAGTGGATGTCACTGGCTGATATTTGTCTGTCACATCAGTTTTGCAAACTGGCTACAAAACCAGTGACAGTTCAGTTGATTTTAAAGAGATTTCATTCCCTAAACAAAGGGCTAAATGACAGACAGAAAAAATAAAATTTAGCCATCCATCATGGGAAGCTGGAGTTCCTCTCAGTCTGTCACAGGGCTGTAAAATAAAATAAGAACTGAAAAGATATCGTTATTTTAAACTTTGGTGCTGGACTCGGAGCACGGGGTGTTATTTTCAGGCCGTGTTTGTAATATTTGCAGTTTGAAGGTGCATAAACTGCTGATGGTTAAATGTCTTTATATTGTGGATTTATTGAAGTCTGATGCAATTTCTATCCCTCCCCGTAGGCTCAGTTCGCTCAGTGACCGCATCATCTCTAAGGACTATGAAGTCTGCAGTTCCCGCCCAGGCTAAGCTACCACACTCCAAAGCCGTCTCACAAGGTATACAGGAATATGTTGTTAAATTGGGGTTAAATAATGCTTATAATCCTTTCTGCACTGTTACAAAAATGGATATTCGTACAACTCGGGGCCAAAGTTTTAAGTAATAAGTTAGCTTGCATACAAGTCATTCATATGAGCTAAAAACTCTTTTCCTTGACTTTGATAGGAAATGTACCATTGGTGAGTTAATTAAAAAGATTGGAAAAGAGTGTTTAGCCTATAAAGTGACATGAAGTGATATCATCCATCTGTTTGCTTAATCACTTATCCAGTTCAGGGTTGCAGGGGATGGACGTAGTCCTGCTGTCACAGGGTGAATGCCAGGCTACACCCTGACAGGTTGCCAGTCAATCATGTAGCGTTTTCTTATTATGGTTATCAGAGATGCTTTGACTCACTTCATTCAATTAGGAACCTCCTTAAAGAAAATTGACTACTCCATCACAGCCATAAGACAAACACAGATTATTTTGATCTGTGTGAGTCCAAAGATAAAAGTATGGAGCTGGAAAAGGGCTTAATATAACACATATAACATAACATATGTTTAACTGCAGCAAAGAACCAAATACTTCATGTGATTGTGTGCCAAGAGTAGAACTGTGGTAATTTATGAGGGAGTCAGGAGTCACAGTGAAGTATGTGAGGGTGGTGCAAGACATGTATGAAGACATGTAGGAAGTTCAGGGTGGCTGAAAGGTATGGTCAGATAGGAGTCTCTTCAACTATCTGTACCCATCACATGACTCACTATGAGCAAGGATTTGGTGACAGTGGGAAGGAAAAACTCCCCTTTAACAGGAAGAAAGTTCTGACAGAACCAGGCTCAGCGATCTGCTGCGATTAGTTGAGGGAAGGAAGAAGAGTGAAAGTCAGTGGAAGTGTGATAGAACATATGTGTGTGAATGAAGGATGATACCCTGTTACAACTCATAAAGGGAGCAGCTGATGATGATGAGGATAATGGCGTCAATAACAGTTTCTTCTGTTGTTCACAGGTGCTCCATCTCGAAAGGCACCTGGTGCTCCCTCTATGAAGACAGCAAAAGTAATCGCTGTGGCACAGTCGAAGCTGAGCTTTATTAAGGCTGCACAAACAGGTTTGTGAACATTGGAAGAATGATAAACACTGTGAAATGAGTTTTGTGATTTGCTTTTATCTTTAATTTGTTTGTTTTTTTGTTTTTGTATTGTTTTCTTTCAGCTCTACCCAGACACCCGATGCCGTTTGCTGCCAAGAACATGTTTTACGACGAGAGGTGGATAGAGAAGCAAGAGAGGGGTTTCACATGGTGGATCAACTACGTCCTCACCCCAGATGACTTTAAGGTCAACACCGAGGTCGCCAAAGGTAACAGGCAGCAGGCTCAAACATGAGAAGATCCTGGTAACACCTTAAATATCTCTAACCTCTTAAATCTGTACCCTCCTCTTGTGTGTCTCGTGTAGTAAATGCTGTGTCCCTTGCTATGGGCGGTGACGACAAGTATAGTGTGCCCAAAGCTCCCACCAAAGAGGAGATGTCCTTCAGCACTTACACAGCCAGACGCAAGCTAAATCGCCTCCGTCGCTCCGCCTGCCAGCTGTTCACATCTGACGCCATGGTCAAGGCCATTCAGAGGCTCGAACTGGAGGTGGAGGCCCGGCGGCTGCTTGTCAGGAAGGACCGCCACCTTTGGAAGGACATAGGTAAGAGTCCTGCTTAATGAAAGCTCAATGCTCTGAGATTCCTGTCACTAAGGCCTGTTCGTGCCATCTTTCAGGTGAACGTAAAAAAGTCCTCAACTGGCTCCTCTCGTACAACCCTCTGTGGTTACGGATCGGACTTGAGGTATTCTGACACATGTGTTTTCTTCTGGTGTCCATTTCCAACAATGTTATTATTTATTTATTTTTGTACCCTGAATATTGCTCATCTTCAGACGATCTACGGAGAGCTGATCTCACTGGAAAGCAACAGCGACACCTTGGGCCTGGCTGTGTTCATCCTCCAGCGACTGCTGTGGAACCCGGACATTGCTGCAGAGTTCAGACACCCCCGAGTGCCCCACCTTTACAAAGATGGTAATTTGAGAGGATGTTGGGTCAGCGTCAGAGCTAATAGAAATACCAGGAGAGCCGAGACTTTTAGTTCAATTGAATTCAAAGTAATTAAAAAGGGGGCATTGTTTGTGTGTTTATCAGCCCAGGTTTGCTTTTGAATTTCCCACTTGAGCTGTAGCACAAGTCTCGGTTTGCCTTTATCATCACCAGACAGAAACACTTTATTATAGAAAATTAACAACTTGGGCATGAGTACAACCTTAATTAACTGACTTCTTGTTATTCCTTCACTGACTCAAACTTTTAATTTCCTTCTAACAACACAACAACAATGACATTTTGCACTGGAATAGATGTGCTTTATATTATTAGACCGAGAAAAAAAAAAGTAAAATAGATGAGGAAATGGGCAGCACAACCAAATAAATATAACTAAATAATAAATATAGATACAGTGCTTAGTCAGTGTGCATGATGCTCAATGTTATGCTGCCAGATCTATAACTGCTTGAAATGTGCAGCTGCAGTTGCTTCAGTTGATGTGATGATTATTTGGATGATCATGATTATTCAAATGTTCCAAACACAAACATAATTGATTAACACTCAGGTGAAAAACAGGATGTTTCACTTTTTCTTTTCCCCTCTTCACTTTGATTGAGTAACCGATTACTTTTTGAATGTGATTAGCTCTCATGAGGCTTAAAGATCACTTTGGATTCATTGGATTAATGTCCCAAAACCTCTAATGTTGTTTTATTCCTAAAATTAATCTTGGAACATAATGCTGAAGAGCCCAAGACAGATGACAGAGCAAAGGATGAAGGAAATACTTTCCTGATTTTGTAGATGTTTGGAATTCCTTTTTAATCTCACTTGCAATTAAATAACTCAAACAACTTGGGAGTGTAAAGACTACTTTTTAAAACAAGGATATCTTGTGATCAAAATAAGAAAACACGGTTTCCTTTGTAAACTGGAAATTGTCTCTATTGTCACTGTATGAACGCCTGTTTACCTTTTCTCGGTTAGGCCACGAGGAGGCGCTGTCCCGCTTCACTTTGAAGAAGCTGCTGCTGCTCGTGTGTTTCCTGGACAAAGCCAAAGAGTCCCGGCTCATTGAACACAACCCCTGTCTGTTCTGTGTTGATGCTGAGTTCAAGGTACGCCAGAGACACAATGTGTCACCAACAAACATTTGTGGGAAAATTACAATTTTTGTACATTGAATAAAAGCTTAAGATAGACTCTTTTCTTGGTATTGAATGGGAGAGCATATAATGTCATTGTGCTTTTGGAATGATGATAAAAAAAAGCTTAAATAGTTTATAAAGATGAGTCTTGAACTGCTTTTTGAGTATACTGAGCTCATGGATCAAAGAATCAAAGAGAGAGATTTCAAGAGTAAGGGTCACGATTGCAAAGGCTCAGTTAGAGTTAGTTTAGTTTTTCTTCTAGATTTAGGGATGGATAATAAGCTCTGATCAGGCGACCCAAGAGTCCTGGTGAAAAGTTAATCTCTGTACAGATATGCTTCACCATGAAGAGGCCTGAAGATAAAAACTAGAGGTTTGAATTGAATTCAAAATTTAATGGGGAGCCAGCACAGTGAGATCTGCGGAGGTGTGACGTTAGAGGTCTTGAAGGATGTGGTAACGAGCCTCGCAGCAGCGTTTTGCACAAGCTGGAGATGATCCAAGGAGGTTTTACTGAGGGAGGCAAAGAGTGACTGAAATAAAAGCATGAAAAACAGTTTTCCCTCTTCTGATCTTTTTGGCTTGTGTTAACCTCTGTCGTGCTATGTACTGCTCAATTTTTACATTTTTATTTAACAGGCAAGTAAAGACCTGCTGCTGGCCTTCTCAAGGGACTTCCTGAGCGGAGAGGGGATCCTCCCGCGGCACCTCAGCTACCTCGGGTTACCCGTCTCCCACGTTCAGACGCCCCTGGACGAGTTCGACTTCGCTGTGAAGAATTTGGCAGTTGACTTAAAATGTGGCGTTCGTCTAGTGTGAGTGTGTCGGCATGAATTTTAATGCGATGCTCGGATCCCAGATGCGTGTGTGCTTCTCTCAGAGGTCAGGCTAAGATAGGCAGCAGTATCCCCTCTCCTCGAGGGAATTGGGAGCTAAGGACTCTCAGACAGGGGATTTCCTTCCTTGATTTCTCACTGAAGGATTGGCTCTTTGACAGCCCTGACAGTGGTTCAGTTTCAAGTCTGTGAGTCTGTCAAATGATTTTTTTTTTTTTTTGTATTTGCTCCTTAAATCAAAAAGAAAATTCAGAGCAAATCTTTGACTTCATTTTATTTGTCTCAGGTTCGCTACAGGATATGATGCAATTTAATGTTACATATTTTTCTGTTTTTTAATTACATGGGTATTTTTTAAAATTTCCTGTATTTCAAGTGGGTATGTTGCCCCTAATGTTGTCCTGTACTCTCATTAGCCAACATGTAGTTAGGGTTATAACAGCATTTAATTATTATTATTATTATTATTTAAAGAATTCAAATTGACATGAGCCAGAATTAAATTGGCAAAAGTTGGATTTGACCTTGACTAGCCCTGTATGTGTGGATCAGGTTCTCATTAGATACTCGTTTATGTTCAGCTGCTGCTGCTGTGGGATTTAAATGTGTGACATAAACATTTCATTGCATGACAAATCAGTTGAAGCAATGATGATGATGGAAGCTAAGGATCATCTTTTTGCTTTAGGCGAGTGATGGAGCTCCTTGTCCAGGACTGGAGTTTATCTGTGAAGCTCCGCCTCCCGGCCATCAGCCGCCTGCAGAAGGTCCACAACGTCGATGTCGCTCTACAAGTTCTCAAAAGCAAAGGGATCGACCTGAAGGACGAACGTGGTAATTAATCAATTTCTGAAAATCAAATTTGTATATACTGTTTAAGATATGAACATATTCGTTGTGTTTTATATTCAGACACTTTCTTTGGAAATCTCTCACTGCTATAGTTTTGCCTTGAGTGTAAACAAGTTCTATATCACCTTGTAGTCTGCTGACTTTTTTTCTTACTAAACTTTATTGAGCGTACATGAAAAGAAAATAGAAAATCTGGAAAACTCAGAACTTTGCTTTGATGGTATTTAAATGTTTTGTTTTTATTTTCAGGCTCAACCATTGATTCAAGAGACATTGTGGATGGACACAGAGAAAAGACGCTGAGCCTGCTGTGGAAAATCATCTTTGCATTTCATGTGTGTATGCCTTTGTTTCCCCCATTTGAGAACCCCCATCCCAATAAATGAAGAGAGTTGATTGATATGGTGTTACTGCATCATATGTTCAGGTGGAGGTGATTCTGAATGAGGATCAGCTCAAGGAGGAGATTGGCTTTCTGAAGAAAACCCTGAGGACTAAACAGAGGCTAGCATCTCTGAAGGCCGATCGGGGTCTTCGGCAGACGCCTGCAAAAACCCGAGTCCCGTACGAACATGGCAGCACCAAAGTTACCCTGCTTATGGACTGGGTCCGTTCCGTTTGTGACTTTTACAACCTGCAGGTGAGACTAAACAGTTTAATTTTAGCTAAGAAACCAAAGAAAATAGTTTTACATTCAGAATTAAACTGATTTAATTGAGGCTTGTTTAAGTTTTATCTCTTTTACTGGTTGCTTTTACACTTTGCCCACTAACTACATTTTTTTTTAACTTGAGGTTGATGCACACTAAATAAAACGTTACCTTGATCTTACAAAGCTGTAATACAGTAGATTTTGGTCATTGTTTTGTGTCGCTTTTAGATTATATCTACACACTTTTCCTCATTGCTTATCATCTTCATTTTCTTTATAAAGAAAATAAATAAATAAATTCTCTACTTTAGGCTACTAAATCTCAGTTTATTTGCAATGCATGTATTCTAAATCCTTTGCAAAGACCGCATCATGATTTAGACACAGATTTTAAGAACATGGAAGATAACCTTGTGCATTCACGTGACTTACTTTATACAATGTTACAAAGATATATTTTCACCCAGGCAGTGTAGGCGTTTACCCATTTCAATGTGCGTTGTAGGCAAGTTATCCAAACAAGGATACATTTAGCTGAACCATGGAATTCGTGGTGGGCTACATTGCTAGAGCACCCAAAAACCACAAATTTTGGATGTGGTTGAAAAATGTCTTTCAATGCCTATTTTTTATGGTTTAAACCCTAAATATGCTTTTTGGTGGCATCTCAGGGCTTTCAGAAGAACAAAACGAAACAACACTGTAAATATAAATGATATTTGTGTGATGCAAAATGACAGAGGTTTGTTGGTTTTTGCTGACCTTTGGAATTATCATATTTGCCACAAAACGCAACCTTGACATTGTAATTTTGAACAGTCACAAATGCAATAAGAATGTGGACCTTTTTAAAAGCCTCATCCTGTATGTGGTGCAGCTCATATCATGGTCAGGTATTTGAATTTTTAGATTAATCTTTTTCCTAATTCCAAAAACAAATGGTGATGTCACTGTGGCTCTGTCCATATACAGGTTGTGATGGGAATTTTTTATTTATTTATTTATTTTTTAACATCGATTGTATGATATTTGAAATTCTGGTACAACGTCAACACAGCAAAACAGTTAAGTTTACGTTTTTAGCCTTCGTGTACTGCATCAGTGAGAAGTTTTCAGAAAACTCTAGTTGGAAACAATAAATAAAGTCTCTCTCTGCCTGTGTGTGCAGGTGGAGAACTTCACCGTGACGTTCTCGGATGGCCGCGTCCTGTGCTACCTTATCCACCACTACCACCCGGGTCTCCTGCCAGAAGCGTCTGTCAGTCACCGCACCACTCAGACTGTCGAGTGCTCACCAAGAGGCCGACTGGAGCTCAGCTGCTCAGCCAGCGACTCCGACAGCTCCTTTGACTCCCTGCCCACAGGCCCAAACGGTATGTCAGCTGTGTTCTGCAACCGTCTGTGCCGGGGGGCATTTAAAGAGGAAAAAAAAAAGTTCACTTGGATGTTTGTACCTCAAACAGACATTTGTAGTCTGTCAGAACATGAAAACAGTGAATATGAAAGGAACTCTGAATTATTTTTTTTAAAAAAAGAAAGAAATGTAACAAATAAATAACACAGCATGTTTATTACATTACATCTTAATTTTTTAAATTTTTTTTAAGTCACGGTTACCTCAGCTTTGTGATGTCATAACATCAAAATACATACACAATACAAAAGAGAGTTGTTACTGACAGCATCTATTTATTCGCCAACAGGACCTGATTCTCCATCGCTGGAGTTTAAAGAGCTACTGAAGAACGAGAAAAGCAACTTCAAACTGGTCAACAGTGCGGTGTCTTTTCTGGGCGGTGTGCCCGCCATGATCAACCCGGCCGACATGTCCAACACTATCCCCAATGAGAAGGTGAGACCAGGTGGGAGGTGTGTCATAGCTTGCAGGAACACAGAACATTGTTTTTGGTGAGATTCATAACAACTGATTATTAATCCACATTCAGTATGTTTTATATGTACTTAAGTAACAAAGAGGAACACATTCCCAACACTGCACTAAGCTTATTCCCCCGCTAATTCCCTGCCTGCAGTCTTGTGCTACAGATGTATAAATGATCATGTGAAAAAACAATAATACAAATGTAGCTTTCTGATTCAGTAGCGCTGTGACAGATGTTGGCTTTTAAATGAATTAAGCTCACTTTACAGGAGTAGGCTGACTTTGTGGCTGCCTCACCCATGTAACCTGACTGAATTTCCTCCCCCATGAGGACAAACTCTCTTGCAATCATTTGTCTTTAAAATGTCAGGATTTGGTAAAATAAGGCTTTTAACGCCTCAATTGTAAAGATATTTAATGTACCAAAATGTGAGAGAGAATGCAGCACTGTCTTCATCCACGTAAACTGACTTGCAGGTGGTGATGTCGTACTTGTCCTTCCTGTGCGCTCGCCTGTTGGACCTGCGGGACGAAACCAGAGCTGCGCGGGTCATACAGGGAGCCTGGAGGAAATACAAGCTCAAGAAAGATTTAGAACTCTACAAGGTTTGTGGTTTTTATTTATTCATCAGTTAAATTAAACTCGCAGTTAAGTCAAGTGTTAATGAGACCCTTTAGCCCTTTATGTCTGATACTGGCCTAATATTGGTCATGGGTAACTATGGGTGTTTGAGGTGTACTTGTCAATAAATGAACCTTGAAGACATTGGTGGATGTAAGTCACACGTTAAAGGATTGTTAACCCATCATGTTTGCAGACTGACACGCTTACAAAATGCTACCAAAAAAGTAACCTCTGTAGAGAAGGTTATAATGTGTTTAATGTTGCTTCTTGTTTCCATGCAGGAAAGAAACATGGCTGCCATGAAAATCCAAGTATTTGTGAGGAATTTTCTTCAGAGGCGCAGAGCTAAGAGGCAGAACCAGGCTGCTGTCGTCATCCAGACCTCATGGAGAGGTTATGCAGCCCGCAAAAAGCTGCGACTTAGAAAACAGGCTCAACTTCGGGCTATGCAGCATGAAGCAGCAACCGTCATCCAGGTGTGTATGTGCGTTATATATCTGAGGGTTAGAAGTGGTGTTTGACAAAGTCACATATGGCTTTGGCTTTTTGAATCTAACTAGATTCAGCTTCTCAAGTGATGGTTAATCTGACTTTGTTTCTAGTTGTGAATGACTTTGTTCAAGGACATTTTGATGTTCATGATCATCTATTAATGTGCTGTCTAGTCAACACTGTGATTACACTTCTTTTTTTTGGATAATTTTACTGTTTTGTCATATCAAGGATAAATCCAGCATAATGAAGCTACCACATGTTTTTGTTCTTTGAATTAAATGGGTCTTATCTTGTCCTTGCAGGCTCAGTGGAGGATGTTTTCAACCATGAGGGCTTACCAGTGCCTCAGATATCATACCATTGTTGTCCAAGCACAATGGCGAATGAGGAGGGCGGCCTCCGCTTATGGGAAAATCTACTGGGCGTCGACAGTCATTCAGAAGTACTCACGAGCATGGGCCATTTCAAAAAGAGACAGAGCACATTATCTCTTACTTAGGAGCGCTGTGGTAAAAATACAAAGAGGCTATAGAAGATGGAAAGCTCAGAAAATACAAAAGGAAAACTGTGCGGTCAGAGTGATACAAGCTGCTTTTAAGAAATGGTACGGAAGAAAAATGTCCCAAAGAACTGCCGCTGCTGTGAGAATCCAGTCCTGGTACAGGATGCAAAAGTGTCTCAATCAGTACAGAAAGATCAAGGGAAGTGCTTTCCTCATTCAGGCCCAGTACAGAGGCCTTGCACAGAGGCGCCGTTTTCTCACATTAAAACTGCAGCACCACTCAGCTGTTGTCATCCAGAGTGCCTTCAGAGGGCACGCTGTCAGAAAAGAAGTGGCGGAAATGAGGTGTGCTGCAGTCGTAATCCAGCGCTGGTGCAGAGCTTCCATGACAAGAGACGCGGAGAGGAAAAAGTTTGTCAGGATGAAATGCGCGGCTGTTACCATACAGGCAGCGTATCGTGGGAAAGTGGCTCGAGATTCTCTGAAAAAACAGGACAGGGCAGCAGCTGTGATCCAGGCAGCTTTTAGGAAGCACGCTGCCCGTAGGCGCTACCTGATCTTGAAAAGAGCTGCAGTTCTAATACAGCAAAAGTACAGAGCAACACTTTTGAGTCGCAAGACAAAGAATGAATATAACTCTCTGAGGGCCGCTGTGCTCACTGTGCAAGCTAACTGGAGAGGCAGAGCGGACAGGAAGAGGATAGAAAAGTGGCATCAGTGTGCATCTTTTATACAGGCTTGTTATCGTCGGCACAAAGTGCAAGCAGAGTACAGAGCCAAGAGGGCAGCAGCTGTGGTTCTACAGAGCCATTACAGAGCTTATTTGGCTGGAAGGAAGATGAAGAGAGGATACCTAGAAAAGAAAGCGGCATCTATTACTGTCCAAGCTGCATTCAGAGGGATGAGAGTTAGGGCAGAGTTGAAGAAAAAGCACCAGGCAGCGACTGTCATTCAGGCTTTAGCCAGGATGTTTTTATGTAGGAAACGTTATCTTCTCCTTCACAGTGCAGCGATTGTCATCCAGAGCCAATACAGAGCTCTTTTGCTGTGCAGGGCGCAGCTAAATGAATTCAGAAAACTTAAGCAGGCGACTGTTAAGATACAAGCTGTGTTTCGGGGATTTAGAGAAAGGCAGGACTTGAAGAGGCAACATAAAGCATCCAGAGCAATCCAAGCTCACTTCAGGATGCACAGAATGCGTGTGGCTTACCTTGCCCTTAAGTGTGCCTCCATCATTATTCAGGAAAGGTACAGGGCCAAACGGCTCATGGATCAACAGATGCAGAGTTACAGAACAATGAAACATGCAGTCATAGTAATCCAAGCAGCATACCGTGGCCACAAGGCCAGAAGGAAGATTGCAAACATGCACCAAGCTGCTTCAGTCATTCAGAGAAAGTTTCTGGCCATCCGGGATAGAAAAAACTTCCTGGCTGTCAGAGTGGCAGTTTTGGCCTGTCAGCAGAGGTACAGAGCAGTAACCCTGACAAGAAAAGCACGGCTGGACTATCTCTCAAAGAGAAGGGCAGTAGTTTGTCTACAAGCAGCTTACAGAGGATATGTAGTTCGAAAGCGGCTGTGTATTGAGCACATGGCAGCTGTAACAATTCAGTCTCAGTATAGAATGTACCAGCAGAAAAACAACTACAAGAGGCTCTGCTGGGCAGCCACTGTATTGCAAACACGTTACAGAGCTAACAAAAAGATGAGAGCAGAGGTGCATGCCCTGAGTGTTAAGAAAAATGCAGCTGTTGTCTTACAAGCTGCCTTCCGTGGAATGAAATTAAGACAGATGATCAAACAAAAGCATCAAGCTGCCAGTGTTATCCAGAGAGCTTACAGAGCTCACTGCGAACACAGAGAGTATCTCACTCTGAAATCCTCTGTCCTAACTGTTCAGAGAAGATATCGAGCGTCTGTAGCAGCAAAGAAACAGTTGCAAACATATCAGAAACTGCGCAGAGCT